TGCTGTAGAATAGCCAACTTGATTTTTTGACTTTAAATTTAAATGAAAGGAGCAGTTTAATACACACTTTCTGTACCAGATTTAATGTGGAGGTTGATATCTCAATAAAGAAAGTTATGGTTTGAGTTAGCTTGAGGTTATCGCTTTCATCCCCCTTTTAACTTTATGTTCTTACTTGGGACATGTTTTGATTGGCATTGAAAGTCAATAAGGATTATTGGCAGTGCTGGTAATGTGAATTAAAACTCTGAGTGTTGTGTTGGTCAAATCTCGTCTCCTTAAATTCAATCCCACTTCGATCTCAGTATTGATTTTTGCTAAAATAACCTTCTTTTCCACGTTTGAGGTCAACTGTAAAATAGGATTCAGTACAAGTAGATTACTAGCCCCACACACTTGTAGCTCTTTGCTGTTCATTGTTATTAAGTGGAAATGCTGATTAAGCATTTCCACTTATTGTTCTCCCCGTCGGCCATTTTGTTTATTATTATTATTATTATTATTATTATTATTATTATTATTATTATTATTATTATTCCATTAATTTTTGTCCGCTTCTAACTCCTTCCTACTTTGTGCTATTTAAACCATTCAAACTTTAAACTGTTCCACTCCTTAAGGACATGAGGGCTCGTACTTTTTACCTTTCTACCTTTTATACTTTTTTTTTTTTTTACTTTTTGTGCCAAAATTTTAACATTGAAGTCAAAGGGGAAATCTTCCAATTCTTCCTTTTCTTCTTCCACCTTCTAAACCTTACAACTTCAGTATACTTTCACCTAGAGACCTCATTTTTGCTTTAAAATGTTCATTCACTATATCCTGAGACATTACCTGGTTATAACCTAGTTATATACTGAGACATTACCTGGTTATAACCTGGTTATTACCTGAGACATTACCTGGTAATATCCTGGTTATAACCTGAGACATAACCTGGTTATAACCTGGTTATAACCTGAGACATTACCTGGTTATAACCTGGTTATATCCCAAGACATTACCTGGTTATAAACTATTTATATCCTGAGACATTACCTGGTTATAACCTGGTTATATCCTGAGACATTACCTGGTTTTAACCTGGTTATAACCTGAGACAGTACCTGGATCTAACCTGGTTATAACCTGAGACATTTCCTGGATATAACCAGGTTATAACCTGTTTATAACCTGAGACATTCCCTGGATATAACCTGGTTATAACCTGAGACATTTCCTGGATATAACCAGGTTATAACCAGTTTATAACCTGAGACATTCCCTGGTTATAACGTGGTTTTAACCTGGTTATAACCTGAGACATTACATGTTTATATCCTGAGACATTACCTGGTTATTACCTAGTTTTATCCTGAGACATTACCTGGTTATAACCTGGTTATTACCTGAGACATTACCTGGTTATAACCTGGTTATAACCTTAGACATTACCTGGTTATAACCTGGTTATAACCTGAGACATTACCTGGTTATAACCTGGTTATAACCTGAGACATTACCTTGTTATAACCTGGTTATAACCTGAGACATTACCTGGAAATAACCTGGTTATAACCTGGTTATTACCTGGTCATAACCTGAGACTTTACCTGGTTATAACCTGATTATAACCTGAGACATTACCCTATTATAACCTGGTTATAACCTGAGACATTACCTTTTTATGTTAACTATATAAAAACAGAACTTTTTTCCCCCCGAAATTTTTTTAGTTAATTCTGAGATATAATTCTTGTTAATTTAGGAAACAAGAGCAGTTTTCTCCTCAAATAAATGCAGTACACCTTTGTGTTAAAGAACTCTACATTTCTGTCAAACATTAATCTCAAATATACCTCAAGGTAGGTTAAAAAAAACATGTTAAATATAACTTTGACTGCATTAATCAGGTAAAAAGTTGAGATTTTATGGCGTTTCCGGGTTAAAAATGTGTAATTTCCTGTGGTTTTAGTCAACATCAAAGCAGAGCAGTGGATTAGCTCTGGTGTTAGCCACACGAATGTACCCGAATGTAATGGCGTTTACTATGGCTATGTGCTATTCGAGACGCAAATGTTTCGGTCGCCATATCTACTATTTTCAAAACATGTCTGTTTCTCACGCATTTAAATGAACATGGTGATGTCCACCAAGTTGCACCTCTTTAATTATGGAACAGGTAGGAATCAACTGAGTTCCTCCGAGAGTTCAGAAGCTGCATGCCACGCGCAAGCCAATCAAATAAAGTATATCTACTGAACAGCCAATAAAAAAGCAGCATTGCTGTATCCGGGTAGATTTTGATATCTTACGGTTTGACTACAGAAGAAGACAGACACTCGCCGTAATAGAGCAGGTTTTTATAAGGACGAGATAGACCCGATGATTACAGTAAGTCAGTAACCTACACATGCAGAGACCTCAACACCTCATGGCATATAAACTCATATGATAAACTAAAGCCCTATGCTATTGCTATTAACAGCTGTATTGACGATTTAGCCTCTGTACAGCCATTTCCAGCCATTTTCCCCTCCACAAAAGCAGCATTTCTCATATATCTCAAATATAAGTTCTGATACTCATGACAGTGTAATGCTCATGTACCAAAGGGTTAAGTATCTCCATGTTTGTGAAACCTATACTAAAGTACAATTCATCTAAATGCTCCACAGATTTTAACAACTCTCCTTCACAACAGGTAACTTTACGACTTAATACTGATATTAATGACTTTATTCTGTTTTTTTTCTAATTGTGCCCCTTATACTCTGAAAGCTTTGATGCTTCAAGATATGGAAGCGATTGTGACTCATATCTCAAATTCAAAAGCATTGGCAGAAATGCTTTTTCATTTCAAAGTCATGGCTGCACTATTTGACTCAAAAATAAAAATAAAAAACAATATTCCAAAATGAAATTTCATTTTCTTCTTCAAGACTGCTCATTTTGTGACTAAATTAAAAAGCAAAAGCAAATCACATTTAACATTTAATTTTCCAAACAATCACCAGCAAAAAGGTAACAATTCAATTTGCAATGTCAAAATGGAAAATTCAAAAGCATTAGCAGAAATGCTTTTTCATTTCAAAGTCATGGCTGCACTATTTGAACTGATCGCAGTCAGCGTGAATGAAGTCAAACCGAAACTTAATGTGCAGTTTACATACCCAAATGCATCTTTTTGTGTGCATTTTTGAGACACATAAAAACAGAACAAAAGTTTGACATGTTGTCATGATCCAACACTCGTGTGTTTTTTTTATTTATTTTATTTATTTGAGATCATTTTCTTCCACTTTAAGAAGCTTATGAGTGGATGGGATGCACGGGGTGCATTCTACTGCAAAACACCGGGCTTCGTGTCTATAATTAAACCTGCAGTTTTCTGTAAACAAAACCAACTGTATTATTGATAAAAATCAAATCACAGCTAGGCAAGTTATTAATAATTGATCTTTTTTTATAGTAGAAGAGGTCCCTGCATGTTTATTTGTATTAGTCAGCATAGGCCTATAAGCATTGTAGGCCTACAGAAGGCTCACACAGACATGTAGGCCTATATACACTCACCGGCCACTTTATTAGGTACACCATGCTAGTAACGGGTTGGACCCCCTTTTGCCTTCAGAACTGCCTCAATTATTCGTGGCATAGATTCAACAAGGTGCTGGAAGCATTCCTCAGAGAGCTTGGTTCATATTGACATGATGGCATCACACAGTTGCCGCAGATTTGTCAGCTGCACATCCATGATGCGAATCTCCCGTTCCACCACATCCCAAAGATGCTCTATTGGATTGAGATCTGGTGACTGTGGAGGCCATTTGAGTACAGTGAACTCATTGTCATGTTCAAGAAACCAGTCTGAGATGATTCCAGCTTTATGACATGGCGCATTATCCTGCTGAAAGTAGCCATCAGAAGTTGGGTACATTGTGGTCATAAAGGGATGGACATGGTCAGCAACAGTACTCAGGTAGGCTGTGGCGTTGCAACGATGCTCGATTGGTACCAAGGGGCCCAAAGAGTGCCAAGAAAATATTCCCCACACCATGACACCACCACCACCAGCCTGAACCGTTGATACAAGGCAGGATGGATCCATGCTTTCATGTTGTTGACGCCAAATTCTGACCCTACCATCCGAATGTCGCAGCAGAAATCGAGACTCATCAGACCAGGCAACGTTTTTCCAATCTTCTATTGTCCAATTTCGATGAGCTTGTGCAAATTGTAGCCTCAGTTTCCTCTTCTCAGCTGAAAGGAGTGGCACCCGGCGTGGTCTTCTGCTGCTGTAGCCCATCTGCCTCAAAGTTCGACGTACTGTGCGTTCAGAGATGCTCTTCTGCCTACCTTGGTTGTAACGGGTGGTTATTTGAGTCACTGTTGCCTTTCTATCAGCTCGAACCAGTCTGGCCATTCTCCTCTGACCTCTGGCATCAACAAGGCATTTCCGCCCACAGAACTGCCGCTCACTGGATATTTTTTCTTTTTCGGACCATTCTCTGTAAACCCTAGAGATGGTTGTGCGTGAAAATCCCAGTAGATCAGCAGTTTCTGAAATACTCATACCAGTCCTTCTGGCACCAACAACCATGCCACGTTCAAAGTCACTCAAATCACCTTTCTTCCCCATACTGATGCTCGGTTTGAACTGCAGGAGATTGTCTTGACCATGTCTACATGCCTAAATGCACTAAGTTGCCGCCATGTGATTGGCTGATTAGAAATTAAGTGTTAACGAGCAGTTGGACAGGTGTACTTAATAAAGTGGCCGGTGAGTGTATATATATATATATATATATATATTATCAACATCATCCTGCTGGGATACATATGTGGTGGTTTTCTTGAGACCTCAGCCTTTTTTCCCTGATTTTCTGAGTAGGAGATGCTGATTAGTTCTTCCCAATAAAAGACAATCATGACCCAAACAGATTAGGACAAATATTTGTTACGTGTACAAAAGGCCAGGACCCAATGTTGCGGAGACAAAATCACCAAACGTTTATTAACAAAAATATCGAGAAGAAAAAAACAATAAAATCACTACACAGGGTAAAAAGGCTCGGGAAGCACGGACAGCTACTAAAAACAAAGAATAACAAGTGTCAGGAAAAATTACAGAAAAACTCAAACAACCTCTGACACTAAAAGTACAACTCAAATATACCACGTGGGGCAAGTAACAAAGGAATATAAAGTCAACTAGAAAGTTCAACGGGAAACAAAAGACAAACTGAAAATCATCTCAGAAAATTTTGAGGGAAAAAACTAGAACTACGAAGTACAAAACAACTGAAACAAAGTGACTGGAGGCACAAGCAGGAGGACACGAGAGGCAGCGTGAGTCAGCTTGAGAGGAAGACTGAGAAAATCATCTGGCAAAGAGCAGGACAGGAATCTGGCTTTTAAAGGCTAGCTGATGAGCACAATGAGGTGCAGGTGTGTTCCTGATCAGCCGAGTCAGCTCCGCCCCCTGCCATGCTCCAGTGCTGCAGGAAGAGAAAGAGAGAGAGAGCACACAGACAACCAAAACACAAGGAAACAGCCCTGGATCATGACAATATTAAAACAGTTGTAAGTTAATGTTGCATGCTAATCAATTTGAGAAATTAAGTGAGGCAAGAACATATTTAGAGTTTGGTGACCTGATGTCTGTTTTTTTGTTTTGTTTGTTTTTATACAATCACAGGTGTGACCCAGGTTCCCAGCCTCAGTAGGATTATCAGTGCCCACTGTCAGACATACCACTGCATAAACCAGACTTCATGAAGCAAGAAGACACACAGATATAACTCCATCTCCACCCCAGCTCAGACGAACACCATCTATCCCAGCTACAACAGATTCTACTAACCTGATAACAAAATTAACCTCAGCCAATTTTCCACCCACCCCCCTCAAACCACCACCATATCTTGAAGTGTAAATTTTTTATTTAATCATACAAACTAATTTCTTTCAGTAGCACCGAGTCAGACTGATAATGATAAGTCATTAGATTTTCAAGCACTTTATCAGAGACCCTCAAAGCTCTTTACATCGAAGACATCATTCATTCACACAGTCACACCCTGGCGGTGGTAAACTACCTTAGTAGTCACAGCCGCTCCAAACATCACCCACAATCATGCACCAGTGGAGGACACACACTGGGAACAAGGTGGGTTAAGTGTCTACCCCAAGGACACAATGGACAGACTAGGGATGGGGGGAATTGAACCACCAACCTTTTAGATATTGGACAACCGCTCTACCTCCTGAGCTACTGCCGCCCTCAGCTGCCTCTCAACATCTGTTTTCACCACTCTGGTGATAATGTGCTGGCAGGTTGTAGCCTAATTTGTCAAAGGTAATTTGAATGAGTGTGTATTTTGTTAATCACATACACTAATTCCCTTTATTATTTTTCCTGTCAAAGACTCGCAGCATTTATTGCACTTTCTTGTTTCTACAAATTAAGATTGTACCACATTGACTTGCCCTCATAAACTGTCAGTGATTGTATATTCATACAGAAATTGATATTTTTAAGGTTATTAAGTATTTAGGTGAAAAACCTTTATAATGTTGATGTATTAGCAGGGCTTAAAGCAAGGAAAATGTGTGTGCCTGAAAGTGTTTCGGAACAGAGGGAGGAATTATAGAAGTGAATGTTTAACAAAGGAACATTAATTATTTCAACTGATAGTGCAAATGAACCTACCAAATATCTTTTCATTAGTTTATAATCCTCAAACACTTATTCTATAACCCCACAAAGTGAAGCAAACTCACTCCACGTTGAGCATGTGCAATGTTAAAAGGCTGCTTATGCATTGACATGTCAGTATTAGTAATGTGTTTTGTTACACTTAAAATATATCAGCGACCATCTGATTTTCTAAATATAGCTGCCTGGTTTGGAATAAATATCTGATTGTTTTTATTTTGACTGAACCTGCAATTGAGAAATGATTTATGATTTGGAGTAAATGATAATGAATTGAAAACCTTAAAATAATAATAATAAACCTTAAATGCTGTGAGATTATTGGGAGGGATTTATACCAAACAAATTTGTATTATTAAATCTGTAATATATCCTGTCATATGATATGACATCTCTGCTGAGTCACAGTATTTCCAGTCTTTTTCATTCAGGTCAGAGTGTCCTGTTCGACGTTTGACCAGCAGAGGGCAACAGCGCTCCTTCATATTTCTTGACCCACTTTTCCTCACCACACGATTATTGAATAAGTTTGAATAAGTTTTAACAAAAAAACATCAAAATACTATTTTTTTAAGAATGTAGAGTCTGCTTTTATGTATTTAATCCCCTGCATTACAGTTTGTAAAAATAATTATCAGTAAATATGTTTTTCTGAATGATGGATATGAATAAGGTGGTTTGAGGGGAAATCTTGACTCACAGATCATGACTGTTTTTTCTTCTTTGGTTTTGGTTGAGGTTTGTTTATGGCTCCTCAGACCGCTGTGTATTGCTATCATGTGGTCGTTACTAAATTTGGTATAACTAGAGAAGCAAGCGGTCGGCAACATTCATCTCTCGAGGTGGTTTGTAACTCAGTGTTAGGGTGTGTTTGGCCCTAAATTAATTTTACACTGGAATATCCCTTTAAATCCAATAAACAGAAACTACATGAAGTATCTTTGTAGAAAACAGTAAAGGCCTCACCAGAACTTCTCAAGTTTTGCTTCATCAGTTTTAAAAAAAAGGAAAACAGCCCTGAGGATGGTGTCCTTCAGTCCAGACTCTTTGGAGGCTGTTGTTCCTCTTGTTGTGAATCCTTCACTCTGCTTATCACCACCTTCTCTCTGAGTGTGTGTGAGAGTGTGTGTTGTTCCTGCCTCCGTTTGTGCTTGCCTTGTTTATCCACGTGACGTGATGGAGGGGCACTGATTGCTCCACTGGTCCAGATCTAGGCCAAGCTTCCTGACGCGGGTGTTGCTCCCTGCTGATTGTGCTAATCACCACCATGGTCAACTGGGGGCATTGTTCGCTCCAACCTTTTACTGCTCCATCAGGGTGTGTGAACTAGAGCCCTGATTATTTTGACGTCAACTTTTTTGGCTTATTGTCTGTTTCCCTTATTTCACATGCAAACAAGTTCATGATTTAAAACACATGATATTGTGTTTGGCTGCTGACCTCCGTCCTGATTGTTGGACTGAGATTGGAGGATAAGAGTCTGGCACATTTTGGTGCTCACAGACTGAAAGACCTGTTTCTATTTCAAAAAATAATCACGTTTTCTGAGGGGACCTTGGTGTTTCATAGACCTGTTTTCATAGAGACACCTTTTTTATTCAGCGGTAACATTCCTTATTGTAACACTCCTTTAGCTTAGATTCACTCTCTGTAAAACCACCAAACACCATTGACAAAAACTGTCATTTTTCCCTTAGAAAACAGGAGTCATAGGTCTACCACAGATGCTATAATTTTACCATTTTCTGATTTGAACAAACCATTTTAAAAAGAAATGACACAAAAGACTGACATAATGAAGCAGCTGTCGACTAAAAACTCTAATTTTCAGCAAGACAAAATCTATGTTTTTGTCAATGGGGTCTGGTGGCTTTATGAGGAAAATTGTGACAGTTTGATCTGATTCCAGAGAAAAATTTAACTCCTCACCAAAGAGATCTATAGCTATATAAACAAAATGAATATATTATAATTTATCAATATAATACATTTTATTAATTTTCTCTGTGAGGTCAGTCTCTCTGAATTTTAGCCTGAGTCTATTAGTGTTGCATTATAGATCTCTTCTTAACAAACCTTCAGTACTGCATTGCAGCTGTAACGTACGGTGGCCCTGGGGGTCAAATGCTCGAATATTTCATGACTACAAAAACATTTCAATAATGCAAAAAATATTTTGCTAAATGTGTAAAAAATTTATGAACACCAAAACAATTAACAAAATTTACATATCTTCATGGCACAGATTTCAAAAAATGCAGTCATTTTATGAAATTTTAAAATATTTCTTAAATACTTCAAGTCCCTACAAGATTAAATAATTTCTTGAAATACAAAAAGTTTTGAAAATATTTCAAGAGACAAAAATATTTCTGAATACACAAGAGGAATAAAGTTTGTTCCATGAAAAAGTTTGTATTTAAAGAAATTATTTCGTTTTATTGGGACTTTCAGTATTTAAATACACTTTTGCTTGAAATGACTGAGAAATGACTGCATCTCCTAGGTTTCATGAAATACTTTATGTTGCATGTATTTTTATGGGTTTCTTTAAATATTTTTGTATTTGTTGAAATGAAAAATCGAGTTTACCTCCAGGGCCACCGTAGCTATACCCTGTTGAGCAGCTGTAGATTAAAGCAAACTTCTAGATTAATTCCAAATTTGTTTTTATATTTTCATTATTAGAAACTGGAAAAGAACTGTAGTTTTAAACTTGCACAACTGTTTAACTCTGAAAATCAAGTGTAAACACATCAGTGTGGTCCTCTTTTTACCCTCCAAATATCATATACGACCAGCTGTAAATAAGATACACGGACACCAGGATGCTTCTCTCATTTATTAGAATTTTTTTCATTTTTCATTAAAAGAGTAAAAAAATGACAGAAATGACAAAAACACTGTACATGTATTCAAATGCAGATGATCCCCTTGGATCACATAATGAGCTCTAATTGGTCTAAGAGGCTTCGCTGTCTGCAGCGCGCTCACTGAGGGAACCAACACCAGCAGACACAAAGACTTTATGAAGAAGCTCCATAGCCGTTCAGCCTGACATGAAAACATCGGAGACACTTCAGGAAACCTTTCGGCTGCTTTTATCTGTCAGGGTTTGAGCTTGTTAATCACCAGACTCTGAAAAAAAAACCTGCTCTTTAACTGACTTCATAATGAATTTAAGGGACAAAAAAAAAAACCCACCAGCAGAAATTTTGAGTTTTTTCAACATAATTTGATCTTTTATTTTAAAAAATTTAACTTAATTCTAAACTTTGATTCTCACTTTCTGTCTTAACAAAGTTCAGACTTGATTTAAGTTCTTTTCTTAATAGTGTTTTTTTTATTGCCCTTAAGGAAGACAAGTTAACTTCCTTCACTACTTTTCTTTTATTAATCTTTATCTTTCTGTTTTCCAATTCTGACTTATTTTTTAACCGTTTTGGATTCTCAGATTGACAAACTCAAATGTTTATTTTCTGACTTTTTCCTCGAAAGCAGTTTTTTTTAAGTCCGGCTCACGATTCTGGATTTCTGACCCTGTTGTTCTTCCATACATTTTACGCAGAGTTGCTCCCACAGTTTGCTGGTTCTGTCTCCACCTTAGCGCACCAGGCAGCCCCTCCTGGCACACATAATGTCAAAGTTTCACAGCACAAAAGTTGCTCCTGCTTAGGAGAGTCCTTGAATATAAACATGAGGAGCTCAGGAGTTCAGACGTAGTGCTTCTTGTCAAAGTCCCCGTTGGTCGTGATGCTCTTGGTGGGCGCGTACTTGATGGGGTAGGAGCCTCTGACCCCCTGAGAGAAGGAGCAGCACAGCAGAGTTCCTCCCACCAGCAGCAGCGCGGTGGCGGCCCAGCCGATGTAGATGGCCGCGCCGATCTCCCTCTTCTTGGACGAAGGCACCTGCGGGTCGTGGAAGTCCACGATGATGTTGTTGGCCATCCAGCAGAGCGGCACGAGCACGAAGAGCGCGCAAATTATGTAGATCACCCCGCCTGCGTGCACCACCTTCGCCTTCAGCGGCTCGTCCTTGATGCAGTTGGTGCACTGCGCCCCGGCGATGGTCACCGTGAGCGCGACCACTCCCAGCACGGCGGAGATGACCGTGAGAGCGCGCGCCGTCTGCAGGTCCTGCGTCAGCGCCAGGACAGAGTCGTGGCTTTTACACTGCATCTGGCCGGTACTCTGCACCACGCAGGACATCCACAGGCCGTCCCAGATGGTCTGCGCCACCACGATGTTGGAGTCGATGAACGCCGTCACCTTCCACATGGGCAGCCCGCACGCGACCATCACCAGCAGGGAGCCCGTGACGCACAGCGCGAGGCCGAGAAACTCCAGACACGCAGCGAGCATGGCTTCGATCTAATGTGAGGGTCCCTGATCCGCAGATAGTCCTGGTCTGAGGGGCTCTGGTCCGCCGATGGTCCTGATCTGAAGACTCTTCTCCTCAGGGTTTTCATTTAAGGGAGCGCGAGCCTGACGCGGCTGCCCCTACATCAAAACAAACAGGTCAAACTTCCCACCAATCAGGAGCGAATGCGTCTTTCCCTCAGCCAATGAGGAGAGGATTCTGCAGAGGCAACAGTTTGCACACACATTTGTGCGTTCACGTGAAGGTGGGGGAGGGTGAGGAGGAGCAGCTGGAGTTTGATGTCTTCCTGTTTTTCAGATTTCTTGTGAAGATGAAGCAGCTTGACATCAATTTATGAGGATTTCATCAGAAAAATGTTTTAAAAAATGCAGCAGAAAAAGGGAGGAGAAAACACCCTGTTAATAGGACAGGACCCCAACTGTAGGCCTGGTGGTCTGAGCAGAACAAAAAACTCTGAAAGCAACATCCTGGATGTCCCTCTTTACCCTCATTTCCCTGTTATTGTCTTATTTACTCAACAAAATCAAAAAGCAAGAACAAAGTTTGTACTAACGTATTTTTAAAAAGTAATTTTAGTAAGACTGCGATTCAGAGGATCTGGAGAAATCTCTTTACTAAAGGGACAAGGACCAGTACATAGACTGGATGGTCCTGATCTTCAGGGCATTAAAAACAGACAGGACTCTGGAGTGGGAGCCAACGCACGGAAAGGACAACTGGACTTACCTGAGACGTTTTGCAAAACATCTCAAGTAAGTCCAGTTGCCCTTTTAACAAAGAATCAGAACTCATAGATGCTGCATCCTCAGTTTTAAAGTGATATTTCAGCGTAAAATTAATTTAGGGTCAAACACACTGTAACACCGAGTTAGACACCCCCTCCAGAGATGAATGTTGCTGACCGCTTGCTTCTTTAGTTATACCAACTTTAGTAACGACCGCAGGATAGCAATACACAGTGGTCTGAGGAGCCATAAACAAACCTCAAACAAAACGCCACTCTATAGTCACAAATAATGCTCAGAGCAGCACCTAACTTCATCAACAGGACATATAGGGTCCCAGCCATAGTACAAGCCACCAAACATCTTTTTAACTTTGAATAATTTCTTTAGCAAAGAGTGTAAAAACACAACTCACCTACTCTCTTCCAGCAGCCACTTGTTTTTAGCGAGACTTCAGGCCAGTCCATTACGGACTGCTGCAGGGTTTTTTATGTTCATTTCTTCATGGAAAGGCAATCAGACTGAGATGCTAAGGCAGAAGAACTACCGTGTCTGCCGTGAAAAATTATTAATATGGCGATTATTACTTCAAGGAAATGATAAAGAAATTATCATAAATGTTCTTCCTTTAACTACGTCGCCCCCATAGACTGTATATACTATGGATGACTTTGCCCGCCTTCCGCCAATTTACGGATTTGAAGCCGAAAAGCTCTGGGTATTTCCACAATCTTTCTTCATTTCCTGAAACCAACATTGCGCAGTAGCATTGTGCGAGAGAGTCACTGTAATGACGCTCGGCTCAAACTGCGTATCCCCCTAAGCTACACAATCTTCGTACGCCTGTAGGCTGTATCAAGTGTCAATCACAGAAAACATGAACCCTCTAATAACTTTTAAAGTTACTCACCGTTACTCACCCGACTCTCTCCAAAATTTTGACCCATTTTTTAACCATGACAACAATCACACAGGAAGCAGTCCGTGCAAAAGACGAGGCGGCCATGTTGACTCGCTTCATTGTGCTGTGACTTTGTTGTTGAAATATCCACTCAACTCTTTTTGTTTTTGTGCTGTAAGTGGACACGGCCGGGGATCGAACGACCTGATTTGACCCGAGAAACACATCCTGTACACGCTGCACTGTCAGCGCTGTGATGACAGAAGCACCAAAGCATTCTGGGTCTTTACAGAGGCAAAAGCATCTGTTAGCTTCCTGTCCTACCTTGAAATAACACCGAAACTAAACTTAGATTGTTTTTCGCTGCGACACTGCTATGGGGAGGAAAAATTCATCGTTTTCAAACCCAAAGAAAATCTGATGGTCCAAGGCTCACAGCCAGAAGAAGGGCTTTAAAAACTGCAATAATTCTTATGTCCAGCAGGGGGAGAATCCACTGGTACATTTAAAAGTTCTTCTTGGTTCATCACATGCCTTAAAGGAGCGCCTGTTTGCATTTGTAGAAAGTCTGAGTTTCACTGTAAGTAGTTTACACATCACTTCACTCTACTGCAGCTGCATGAACTTGGAAAACAAACCAACTTTTTAGAGATGTATTTGTAGCTGACAGGCGTGTTCAAGTCTCACCCCCAATTTCCACCGTACCCGGAATGACTATGAAAAGGCCGTATCCGCCGATCATAGCTGATCGTAACCATTCAAGTTAATGTGTCAATTTCCACCGGCTTCTTTCTGCTGCTGAACAACGAACCCTGCAGCTGATCACAAGAGTTACATTTTTTCCAGACACCAGAGCATGACGGATAAGGAAGTCGGGCATAGACACAAAATAAAACATCCGGCTTCATTTTGAAATAAAACACTCCGTGTTTCAGGAGGATCGTATTTCACACCATGCAAACAGGCAGAGACGAACAAGTGAAAAGTTTTTGGATCATTTCACCCTGATGACACCATAGATGAGTAGATGCTGATTCTAGAAGTCTAGAAGTAGATTTCCTCTTCTGGAAGGACACAATCTACTGCTTATATGTCTATGTAGCTGTCTTTATAGAAACAACTCGTAGTTGCGCGACATGTGAATCCGGGGGTTATCGTAAGTTCTTGCAATTCCCGCTGTCTGTAATCCACCACAAAATTCACCTCACAAACGGATCCTGTAGGAACTGGTGTATGGCGAAAATCACCGCCGTTCCGGATCAGCGTCATTCTGGATGCAGTGGAAATTCGGGGTTAGTTTCAGGGTAAATTAGGTTACAGAGACACTTTGCTCCTATGACTTTAGCAGCTTGAAAAATAAACCAGTTGTGATTAACTTGTAATTTATAGGTTTCAAGTTTGCTGAAATAACATCGCTATGCAGATTTCTAAAGAGTTTCACTGTAGATCTCCAGTTTCACACAGGCTTCACTTTGGCCTACTGTAGTGAAATGAACCTAAAGAAAACAAAATGTTTTTTTTTTTTCATTTTCATGAATGTGTCCAAAATTTGCTGAAATTACATCATCATGGTTTGGATTTCTGGTGGTCTCAGTTTCACTGTTAAGAGGAAAGCTACACTCACTTTTACCTGAGCTTACTTTGGCAATATGAACCCCAAATTAAAAAGCATTTTGGTCTGATTTTGTTGTTAGAACTGGACTTAAATTTGCTCAACTATTATCATCATGATTCAGATTTCTGCTGAGTCTCAGTTTCAGGGTTTCAGAAACATCAAATACTGAATTTCTGATGATTTCCTGACATGAAAGGGTTGAATTCTGCTGAGATAACATGAGTCAGGTTGGAAGTGAGTCAGATTTTAAGCTTTGTTTGATTCGTCCCCATGAGGAGAGGAAAATAAAATCAACTTTAAAATGTTTGTTTAATGGAGGCACGTACCGTCTCTTTCTTTTTCTCTGTGTGTGAGTCACTGAGTGACCACTTTGACTGTTTACTGCAGAGCAAGGGATGCATGTAGATTTCGGCTGCACCACACCCTCTGTTGGTATTACTCCACTACTATTTCAGTTTTAGTTGTAAGGTCTTCCTGAGAAATCTGAATCAGGCTGCTGGTATTTCAGAGAAGGAGCAGATAAAGGTAAACAGGACGGAGGACGAGCTAAACGACTGAGATAAGGTCTTCAAAAAAACCCCAGCTGAAGAAAATCTGAGCTGGACTGAAAATATCCGACCTGATGTGAAGATTAAAGTTTAAAAATAAAGTTTCAGTCTGTTTGATTAAAACTATCATATCGGCTCTGCAGGATTTACCCATTTTTAGTCGTAATTTAGGTTGAGATGGCCCGCTGCAGCAGGTGTTGTCATGTCAACACGCAACACGCTGGCAAATAACATTCCCGCAGAAAAACACAATCAGGCCTCCAACTGGAAAGACCATTATAGAGGAAACACACACACACACACACACACACACACACACACACACACACACACACACACATTTGCACGTGAAGAGGAGTGAAGTCATGGTGTCACGTAGTAGGTGAGTGGGTCATTAAAACAATGTTCCTGTTGGCTCAATAACACCGATACACCAACCTCTAAATCACAATCAGGACTTAAGTAGCTGCCAAGAGCCAGGGCCTGATGGAAACAACAGTGTGTGTTCATGTGAGTGTATGTGTCCTCAGGAGGCCAGATGTTTCCTGCTGAGAGCTTACTGTTACATAAAAAAAAAAAAAACTGCTTCAGCTCCCACACGCTGAGTTTAATTGTCTGTGAAGTAAAGTCATTAAAGTTGATAAAAAGAAGAAAAAAAAGAAAAAAAAACTTCATAATAAATAAAGAAATAGTTTGTCTATTTTTATATAGTATCAGTTACAGTTGAGCAGAACTGATTTACTTACAGATATGGTGTACCATACTTAAAGCAAATCATCCTCTCTGATTGGCTGTTCCCTCTCTGACATCACTTTCCTGTTCAGTTACAGTAAAGGGGGTCTCCTGGACTCCCGTGGAGAGGGTTTGGTCGGTCATTAAACTGTGTTCCTGGTACTTAAATAACCCGAGAACTATTTTTTTAATGTTATTTACCGGCTTATAAAGACTTCTTATTAGACCCTACTGTAACTCTAGAGGTTATTCCAGTTAGACTTCAAGTAACTTTTCTTAATGCAGTATTTCTTTATTCAATCAAATGATGTGACAGTTATAGACAACATTAAGACTCTGTCTTGATGGTCGTACCCAGCTGTGTGTAGATTCTTAGTGTGTTTTCAGGTTGTTTGAGCAGTCAGGGAGAGTTTGATTGACAGCTGCAGCTCTGCCAGGTGACGTGTTCGCCGCCTGTGTG